ATTTTTGTACTGTATGTCCTTTTAGAAAATATTTCATCTGTTATCTAACTTGTTGCCATACTATTTTTGACTTTGTTCTGTTTCATTTGTATATTTGCATTTTTTTTTTGTAACCAAGACTCACTAGCCTAGATCTTGGAACCTGATGCTAAGCTCAAACTATTAAAGTACAGGCATGTGTTTCCATGTCTCCTCTGTTGTTTTCTTTATATGGCTTGGGTTCTGTATGTGTTTTGAATATCATTAGACTTTTATCAGATTATGTATGGTTTCCAAATATTTTTTGTTCATTCCACAGGCTGTTTCTCTACTCACTGAGCAGTAGTTTTCTTAATTTGTTAGGATGCAGTTTATTATGTCAAATTTTGGATTCAATGTATTCCCTAAAAAATAACTGCTGAAAAAAATCTCAAAATGTGTCAAAAGTTTTTACAGTATTAATTCGATTCTTCTAAGTCTAATATTCCCTTAGGGCTTATTTTTATATGTAAAGAAAATGTCTAATTCTCAAGCATGTATATACATGCTGTCCTCAAACCATTTATTAAACAATCTGACCATTGTTTTGCATTTGCTCTTAGCATTTTTATTCAAAGACCTATTGAATGAAAATATATACTTATTTTGGGTTTTCTTCTATGGGCTAACATCGTTTTGGTTTTATGTAATACCATGCTGTTTAGGTTATTATGGATTTGCAATAACTTCTGAAGGAAGGGCATACAATATCTCCAGTTTTGTTCTTTTTGGTCAAGATCAGTAAGGTTGTTTGGTTGTTCCACACATATTTTGGGAATCATTTCTATTTATAATATAATATACATAATACATATGTAGGCATATGTTAAGTATATGTATATATGCATACATACATACACACACATACATACATACATTGGCGAGTTTGCTCAGCAGATAAAATACCACCAAATCTGATAATCTCATTTTAATCCCTCAGACCCATGTAGCATAAGAAAATAATTGATATTCACAAATAAGGTATCCTCTGTCTGTTATGGAATTATTCTCTTGTATACTGTAAAGATTTGTCACTCATATTAGTTTAATAAAACACTGATTGGCCAGTAGCAAGGTAGGAAGTAGAGGTGGGATGATCAGATTAAGAGAATACTGAGAAGAGGAAAGGTAGAGAGTCAGTCACCCAAAGTTCCTCTGTAACATCAGGGCACCTATCTTTGGCCCACAATCCTAGCATGTACAACAGACATTTCTGTGAAGCAGGATACTCTGAAGGGCTGTTTCTCCTTGTTTTGACTGTGTTTTACAGTCACATTCTTTTGTATCCTGTTTGTCCAGTTAGGACAGCATACTGTCAGCAGACAAGGCAAGAAAATTTTCTTGCCAAGGGGCTTATTTATGCCACAAAGAAAGTGAACTCCATATGGAGTTTCTTCAGTGTTCATTATTTTCTCTGAAGTAGAATGGTACTGCTAGATGCAAACATGCCTCATTGTCATAAAAAAGAGTCTGTCATTAAAACATCTTAAATGCCATATTGTATAAATCTCTGAAGTGTTTGAAGGTGACCTGTCTATTTTAGATATTTTATTTAATTTATCTATTTTATATTTTATCTTATTTATTTACATTTTATCTATTTTACATAGACATGTCACCTTGTTAGACCTTAAAAACACACCTAATGTGACTACAAGTTTGATTGTAATAGGTGACTAATTACTAACTTTCATTTCCTTATTATCCTTTTTTCCTAGGCTTCATACCCTGGTATACAACTTCAGAAGACTTTGTCTTTACCAGTGGCCAGATCAGATTTAGGGACTCCTAGCCCCCAAACCCCACAGGTGTCACCCTACTAGATATGAAGACCTGCTAGTCACCAGAGTCCTTGGCAATTTAGGCCAGAAGAACTGACAGGAAAGAAAAATCAAGGAACAAAATACTGATCTAACAAAGACAAATGCAGGAATCAGTGCCTATCCCTATAATCATCCCAAATCCAGATGCTTAAATGCCAGTGTAAGAGCATAATAATTGATAAGGTAATATGGCATCACCAGAGCCCAGCTATCTCATATATCAGCAATACCTGAACAATCCAACATAACTGAAGCAGAAGAAACAATATTAAATTTACTTTATGAAGATGACAAAGGTTCTTGAAGAGGATATGAACTAATACTTTATAGAAATTGATTAAAAGAAATAAAAGAAAAACTTACAAGAAAAAAAATCCCTAAAATAAAACCAAGAAATAACAAACAAACAAAAAAAAAACTGTTCATGAGCAGAAAATGGAAATAGAAGCAATACATAAAACATAAACACAGAGAATTCTGGTAAAGGAAAATCTGGGTAAGTGAATAGAAACTACAGATGCAAACATCACAAACAGAACTCAAGAGTTGGAAGATTAATATTCAGGAGGATGCCTATACATTTTTCTTTGGGTTCTCCTTCTTATTTAGCTTCTCTAGGATCTCTAATTATAGGCTCAATGTCCTTTATTTATGGCTAGAAACCAAATATGAGTGAGTACATCCCATGTTCCTCTTTTTGGGTCTGGCTTACCTCACTCGGGATGGTGTTTTCTATTTCCATCCATTTGTATGCAAAATTCAAGAAGTCCTTGTTTTTACTGCTGAGTAGTACTCTAATATGTATATATTCCATACTTTCTTCATGCATTCTTCCATTGAAGTGCATCTAGGTTGTTTCCAGGTTCTGGCTATTACAAACAATGCTGCTATGAACATGAAAGGAGACAGAGACAGAGACCCACATTGGAGCACAGGACTGAAATCTCAAGGTCCAAATCAGGAGCAGAAGGAGAGAGAGCACGAGCAAGGAACTCAGGACCGCGAGGGGTGCACCCACACACTGAGACAATGGGGATGTTCTATCGGGAACTCACCAAGGCCAGTTGGCCTGGGTCTGAAAACGCCTGGGATAAAACCGGACTTGCTGAACATAGAGGACAATGAGGACTACTGAGAACTCAAGAACAATGGCAATGGGTTTTTGATCCTACTGCACTTACTGGCTTTGGGGGAGCCTAGGCAGTTTGGATGCTCACCTTACTAGACCTGGATGGAGGTGGGTGGTCCTTGGACCTCCCACAGGGCAGGGAACCCCGATTGCTCTTTGAGCTGACCAGGGAGGGGAACTTGATTGGGGGAGGGGGAGGGAAATGGGAGGTGGTGGCAGGGAAGAGACAGAAATCTTTAATAAATAAATAAATAAATAAATAAATAAAAGAGTTGGAAGAGAATCTCAGGTGTTAAAGACATGATAGGAGAAATAGATTCATTAGTCAAAGAAAATGTTAAATCTAAGAATTTTTAATGCAAAATATCCAGGAAATCTGGGATACTATGAAAAGACCAAACCTAAGAATAATAGGAATAGAAGGAGAAGAAACCCAGCTCAAAAACTCAGTGAATATATTTAACAAAGTCATAAAAGAAAAATCTCCCAACCTAAATAACCACATGTATATAAAAATACATGAAGCCTACAGAACAACAAATAGATTGTATCAGAGAAGAAAGTCTCCTCAACACATAATATTCAAAACACTATACATACAGGACAAAGAATATTAAAAGAGGCAAAGGAAAAAAGCCAAGTAACATATAAAGACAAATCTGTTAGAATCACACCTAACTTCTCAACAGAGACCTTACAATCCAGAAATGCCTGGACGGATATTTTACAGACTCAAAGAGATCACAGATGTTAGCCCAAACTACTATACTCAACAAAACTGTCAATAACTATAGATAGAGAAAACAAAACAATTTTTGTTAAAGTCAAATTTAAGCCATATCTATCCATAAACTCAGCCCTACAGAAGGTGTTAGAAGGAAAACTCCAACTCTAGGAAGTTAACTACACCCACAAAAACTCAGGCAATAGGTAATCTCACACCAGAAAAACCCAAAGAAGAGAAACACACACACACACACACACACACACACACACACACACTACCACCACGAACAAAAAAGTAACAGGAATTAACAATCATTAGTCATTAAAATACCTCAATATCAATGAACTCAATTTTCCAATAAAAAGACACAGGCTAATGGATTGGAGATGAAAACAGGATCTATCATTCTGTTTTATAGGAGAAATACTCCTCAACATCTAAGGTAGATATTACCTCATATTACCTCAGAGTGAAGTGTTAGGAAAAGATTTTCCAATCAAATGAACCTAAAAAGCAAACTGGGGTAGGTGCCATAATATTTAAAAAATAGGCTTTCCACCAAAGTTAATTCAAAGAGATGGAAATGGCATTTCATATTCATCAAAGAAAAATGTACAACAAGATGATGCCTTGCTTCTGAAGATGTATGCCAAAAATGCAAGAACACTCACATTTGTGAAAGAATAGTTACTAAAGCTTAAATCACACATGGAACCCCACACAATAATAGTGGAAATCTTCAACTCACACCAGTGGACAGGTCACCAGCTGCCAAAGCTGTAGCCACACAGCTTAGCAGTTTAAAGGCTCACGAGGTCAGAAAAGGATAGAGTTACAGAATAAAGACAAATTTGGAAAAAAAAATCTCCAAACAAGTTACAATGTGTTTAAAAATATGTGTGGGCTTAAGAAAACAGTACAGACAGTCACAGGGGAAAAAAAACTAATTTAAAAATAGTAAAGTCTTTAAAGAGAGAGGAAAAGTAATATAAAAGAAAAAAGACACAGAATGATGCAAAATACACAGGGAGTCTGGGTCTTATACTGATGTGTTGGTTTTGAATTTTTTGATTGCAGATAAGCAAAGGATAGCTGCTAAGAGACACAGGCTTGAAAGAGGGACTGATGAAATAAACCAGCCTAGATGTCTTAAGAATGATTTAATTTTCAAATGGATCTCAAAAGATACATTATTTTTGGAGAAGATGTTTTGCTTTTATTTCCACGGGAAACAAGAGACTGTGGGTTTTTTTTTTTTTTTTTTTTTTTTTTTTTTTTTTTTTTTTTTAAGCTGATGGGATGTTTATTTTCGGACAGGGTTTCCAGAGCCAGAGGAAGGTTTAGCAGAAGGAGGAGCTAAGGGCCCGGGTCCTTTCTGGCCACTGGCAGGCTGCACAGGCCCTTTCTTTTGGGGGATTAAGATTTTGTTCTTGCTCTTGAACACTTTGCTGGGGTCCAGCTTATTCACAAAGGAGTCGGTCTCTTCTGTGAGCAGGCTTGTGTTGCTGTAGGTGATGGGTTTGTACATACTGAACCATTGCTTGGCCTGTGGGCTAATGCCATAGCTGGTGAAGGCATATTGCCACTGGGGCAAGCCCAGGTGGGTGATGAGCAGGCGGTAATAGGCAGTAAAGGTATCTGTGAGAAAATGCCAGTATAATGCTCTGTCCAGGAACCAGATCTCAGTGTCATGAGCTAATCCAGGTTTCCCATGTTTGTAGACGAGGCAAACCTTCCCATTACCGTTGCACGAATCTAGTTCAAATATCACACTGCGACTGTCAAAGTGAGGCTTCTCTGGCTGGTCTTCATTGGCTTCGTCATCGTCCTCTAGGTCTGCCAGAGTTGGTGCATTAGGAAGTGAATACAGAGAAGACTGGATGAGCTGACTTATTCCCCATTAATATAAATCAGGTTTGGTCAGGGAGAGACCTTCTTAATCTTGCTTGATAGGTGATCTATATCAACAAAATGTTACAGCAAGTTTTCCCAAAACATGGCCATTATCTCAGTTTCCACAGGAACTCCTAAAGATGTCCTTGCTCACAAACAACAGGAAGCAGTCTAGAGAAGATAATGCACACACTCCCAAGAGATAGGGTGAGAGGTTGTTGGTATTTTGATGGGTTATGGAAGTTTATTTTCATTTAGAAGAATATAAGGATATAGAATAAAAAGATATTAATCTCAGATATTTTGCATTGGCATGGATTTGGTATATTGATACAAATCTAAAGTTAGTTTTCTTATACTGCATATACATTTCTACACTTTCTTGGGGTTTTTTGCTTATGCAACTCATTTTAAAATGCAATGTATAATTAAGAAATAAGGTTAGAATTAATTTATGTAATCAAACTTGTAGTCACATTGGTTATGCTTTCAATGTTAAACAGGTATATTACAGACAGATAGATGATTTTTAAACACTTCAAATACCTAAAGAATATGACATTTAAGATGATTAATAACCTAAGGATTTTTATGACAACAAGACACATCTGCTCCTGTCATCACTAAATTATTTCATAAAATGATAATGGGCTTTGAATAAACTCAATATGGGTTTGCTTTCAATATAGCAAGGTTAACCATTTGGGCAAGAAATGGTACTCACCTTGACTGCTGAAAGTATGCTGTAAAAACTGGACAATCAGTACACAAGGAGAAAGACTGTTGGATTTTACTAAGACAAATCAGGAAAGTGTTTTCAGATTTCTGCTTCATAGAGGAGTCTTTGCCAATACTAGTTTGGACAGTCATTCAAATTTTGCCAGATATTCTAGGCTTATAGGCTGAAGGTAGATGCTCAAATGTTGCAGAGGAACTTTGGGTGAATGTCCAGGCAGCTAGATGTCTATTTTGTTAGGTAATATTACATCCTTCTGGGATCTTTGATGGAGCTAAAACTAAATATTTAGAGTTATAGTTTTCCTTAGTTATGATAGAAAGTAAATTAGATATAAAACTTTGGAATCACTAATATAAGATTATTATTATTTTCTATGAATTTGCTAGATACAAATGGACTAAACATTGTAAATGTAATTCTTACTTGGTATTTGTTTACATTTTATATAGATTTACTATGTTAAAATTAAAATCTTCTTTTTATTTAGACAAAAGAAGGAAATGTTGTACAATATTAGTTTAAGATATGTTATATTCATTTATGCTGTGGAATATTTGTTTAATAATGCAAAGATATGCTGCATTCCTTTATGTTGCATTTCTTTAACTCTGTGAGGCTGTGTTACTTTGTCTGCCTAAAACACCTGATTAGTCTAATAAAGAGCTGAACATTCAATAGTCAGGCAGGAGAGAGAAATAATTAGGACTGACAGGCAGAGAGAATAAATAGGGGGAGAAGTCTAGGCTAGAGATAAGAGGAAGGAGAAAAAGAGGAGAGGAACAAGCCAAGGGCCAGCTACCCAGCCACAAAACCAGGGAATAAGAAGTGAAGAAAAACATACAGAATAAGGAAAGATAAAAAAAAAAAGAGAGACAGAGGCAAAACATAGAAGAAGAGAAATGGATTAATTTAAGTTAGAAAATCTGGCTAGAAACAAGACAAGCTAAGGCCAGGCATTCATAAGTAAGAAAAATTCTTCATATATTTATTTGTAAACTGGGCGGCAAGTCCCCATAGAGTAAAAACTAAACTAAACTCCATCATCCTGGGTGCGCTGCCTATCCTTAATTAGGGAGGTGCTTAGTCGTAGTGCAATTTGATATGCCATGTTCTGTAGATATTCATGGGAAACCTGTCCTTTCCTAAACAGAAACAGAGGAGGAGTGGATTGGAGGATGAAAACAGAGGGGGGTGGAGGAGGGAGTGGGAGAAGAAGAGTAGAAGAAGCTGTGCTCATGATGTAAAATCAATAAATTTATTTAAAAAGGGAAAATGTAAAAGAGAAAAATTTAAAACACAAACAAATCAGGATTTACTATCTGACAAATTTTAAAATAAACCAAATACATCTTCTAAATATATCTAGAATCTCCACAGCATAATGATATAATGCAAAAGAAAGATTTCTTCTTAAAACTTAGTAAACTTTCAGGTAACAAATTATTCTAGTTTTTCTTCTGTTGCTGTGATAAAACATTCCAATCCAAAGTAACTTGGGGCACAAAGACTTTGTCTGGCTTACACTTCCTCTTCAGTCTATCGCTGAAGAAAGTAAAGACAGGGACTCAATGCAGGAACCTGAAGGTAGAAATTATGGAAGAATGCTACTTGACAGCTTGTTCTCTGTTTAGCTCATACTCATGAAGTCTCCATATACAACCCAGAGCCACCTGCCCAAGGAATGGTACTGCCCACAGACTTCCTACTTCAATGAACATGAAGCACTTCTTCCCAGACATGACCACAAACTAATCAGATACAAATATACTTAACTGTATCATGTCATTTCAAGTGGACATTAATTTTAAGTAGGGCATATTACACGCCTTGTCACATTTATACACAGATAAATCAGTTTAAGCAATAATCTTACTCATTTTATTATTATAATAGAAAACATAGTCCAATTGACTTTAATTTTTGACATTTTAAAAATCCAAAGTATCTTAACTATGGGCTCCTCATATATGTATAATATATATATTTACATACTTTTTAATGTAAAAGGGAAGAACTAGTACATAAAAACAATCATATCAAAGCAAATTCAAAATCTAGCTGTGAAAACCCAAATCTGGTAGTTTGATGTCTGGTATCTGGAACCCATTCATGATGTGATTCCCTGGGCTCCAAAGGGCTTTGATTGCCTTATTCTTCCATGTCTATCTTCAGCACACAGGTAGTCTTGAAAGTTTAGAGCAGTTCTACTCCACACCTGACACTGTAATTGACAAACATCCCATAGTCATAGCATCTCCAATAGCCTACATTCTGAACCTTCACCATTGACCTCTCCTGGCCTCTCTTCAGAAACTCTGACCTGTCATATTATACAAGTGTCAGCTTTTCTCAATGACCTCTTGACCTATGCGGCTTTTATGACTCCAAAACCAATGCCCTGTAGGAGACTTTCATGTGAAATTTGACTGTTATTTTGACTTAGCCCCATTAGACCATAACTTCTGCGCACTGACTCTGAGGGAAATACTTTCTTTGTCCCAATAAAACACAGAAGATTTTACCTCAATAATACTATTTTTTAATTAATCACATAAAATTTTCTACTCCTAATTAATCAGTATCCCAGTGATTCTCCCCTAAAAGCACAGAGGTTGTGTTTCAGTGATATTGTCCCCTCTGACTATCCTACCTGCTTCTTCAGCCCCAGGGAAACCAGCACACACAAATGCTGAATCAAGGACCTCTAGTATAGTTATTGACTGAGTCCTTGATTCTCTGAAATCTTGTGATTTAGACTTTTACTGTCCACATTCTCTGAGCATACTTTTCAGATACCAAATAATAAAATCTTAAGAAGCTCTGAGCACTCAAAAACTTTCCCAGCCCACAGTTCCAAAGTCTTTGACATTCCTCCCCCAAACTAAGCTGATGAAGACAATTTGTCATCAAGATTCCTTATTCATATATTCTAGGCTGTGTCACATTGACAGTTAAAGCTAAGGAGGACACAAACCAAGATTGTCTTTGTTATTATGCTTGTAGCTTTTCTCTTGTCTTTCCACACTTATTTCTCCTACAGAATTTTTGTAATTGTATAATTGCTAAGGAAACTATAAAGGGAATTGAGAGGGGGTATGAATACAGAAATTTTCATTTTCATTATGCAAACCTATAAATGAATATAAGAACAATTATTAAAATTCTAAAGATATAAATTTATTTTAACAGAATATAATAATACTTCACATGAATAGATAGGAATGCAAAGAAGTTTTACTATTAGAAAACTCATTAGTCCAATTTATATCACATGACTTGATAAAAATAGACAGTAAATTTTAATGTCCATTTTAATAACACAGCATACTATGAATCAGAATGTCCCTTCCTCCACCTGATTAAAAATATTCCTCATGCCACTTGCAGCAGGCAAGAGAGCTGACCTTGCCCCTGGCCAGCTGCAACACTTGGGAGAGTGGACCCTGCACCTCTCCTGGGCAACACAGTATAGCTGACTTTGTTGATGGGGCATGAGTGAGCTAGCCTGAGAACATGAGTGTGGGAGGTCCCATGCCTCATCTAACATAAACTGGTGTGGAGAGGGAGAGATGCCCCATCAACACCCGGGGTTGTCTGTGGCTGGTGAGAGAGCTGGCCCTGAAATCATGAGAAGAGGAGAGTTGGTCCTGTGTGCAGCACACGGGAGAGTGGTCCCAGCGCATTTCCTGGGCAGCACAGTAGAACTCACCGTTGGCAAGGTCACAGATAAGCCATCTAAAGGCCTGAGAGTGGAAGTACTGACCCCATCCTCAGATTCCAGGTGGCGGCATAGGTGAGGGAAAGATGTCCTTCCTTCCCCTTCCTCCTCACCACCTGCAGCAATGCTGGAGAGCTTGCTCTGGTGGTGAGGATGAGGGAGAGCTGGTAACTGACCAACCCAGCTATAACTCAGGCCCAGAACCAGAGTTATGAGTTGTTCCACCCCAACATTCACCCCATCTATGATCTGCTAGAGCATGTAAAGGGGCCAGTACTGCACAACTACAGGAGAGTCAAGAAGAGTCCCAGTGAAAATCCAGTAACTAGAGTCTAGCAGAAGCCAGACATATAGACTAAAGAGTATGCTGTGTGACTCACCGTCACAGCTTCCACAAGATTTTTTTTCCTTTTCTTTTAAGTTGTTTTCTTTGGGGGGGCATTGAATTTGTTTATGCTGTGGAATAATTGTTTAAGGAATCAAAGATGTGTTGCATTCTTTTATGTTACATTTGATTAACTCTATGAGGCTGTGTCACTTTACCTGCCTAAAACACCTGATTAATCCAAAAAGGAGATTAATGGCTAAAAGCTAGGCAGGGGAAGGATAGGCCAGTCTGCCAGGCAGAGAGAATAAATAGGAGAAAGAGAGAAGAAGGGGAGAAAAAAAGGAAAAAGAGAATAGGATGCCAGGGGCCAGCCACCCAGCTACACAGCCAGTCGTAGAGTAAGAAGGAAAGAAATGTATATAGACTAGAGAAAGATAAAAGCCCAGAGGTAAAGGGTAGATAAGAAAATCAGTTAAGAAAAGCTGGCTAGAAACAAGTCACACTTACATATAAATAAAATTAAGTCTCTGTATATGTATTTGGGAGCTGGATGGTAAGGCCCCAAAGAGTAAAAATACCAACTATGCGGGGGTACGGTTTACAAGGACAAAGGGTAGATAAGAAGGGACAGAAAGATAAATGGGATTGAGATGCATGATATGAAATCCACAAAGAATGAATAAAAAGTTTAAAAATATATGTTTAATAGGGATAGGTCTAGCTAGCTCTGTGTAGCATTGGAACTCCAGGGATCTCGTAAGTCATGAGCTTCACCAGCGGAAACCAGAGCCCCTGCACAAGGGCCAAATGTTTTCCAGTCACTTCTAGAGTATCAGAAGCCTCTTTGCAAAAGTCTCCTTTGTAGACCTGGTCTCTTTGAGTCTCGGTGTATACTTGATTATCTTTTTAATGTCTTTTGTTTTAGAGACTTGGAAACAGAAACCTTTTTTTCATAAGTTTTACTTGCAAAAAAAACCCCACTTTCAAATTATGAGTAAAATGCTTAAAGTTCATAAGCTACCCATGAGTAATTTTTGAACAATAATTGGACTGTTTTGCATTCAATGTTGTTACTATAAAAGAAA